GGATTCTGCAGGGTCCATTGTGATTTCACTGTTTTCATTCCTAATTGCATAGATTTGAGTCATTTAATCTTTCAAAGAACCAACTCTTTGATTCATTGATTCTTTGTATTATTCCTAACTTGATGTTTTAAAACTATTTTTTTGAATAATATTAATGCTATGAGATTTGTAAAAATACATTTTTCAGATTTCTCTAGAAAATGGTATAACTGTGATTTCAGCAACTGGGTCATCTGTAAAGTTTTTTTAAATACTCAGTTTTAGTTTTCTTCTTGGAGCTTTGCAAAAGTTTGTTTGCAGGTATGCAGTACAATCCACACACCCTGACAAGCTCACAGCCCATTTTAGGACAACTTTGGTATTATTTTGGAATGTTATCTTTCATCAGTTTTCAGCTTCTGACTGTAGGAACACACACGTTGCTTTTAACTCACTGGTAGTTTTCATGTGGATTTCAGTCTGCATGCTGCGATAAAGGGGCAGGTTATTTTTCTAGACCTTTTTGGCTATGCTGCATTTACATGGGTGTCCCAAAAGGTGATAGTGCATGACCTGAGTGTCTTCATCTGGTCCTTGAGGGATTGTCCTCTTCCTTCTCTGAGTTTTCAGGTGTAATTTTAGTTTGAAAAATTTTTATCTTTTTGTCTTCTCCTGAAAAATGATGTTTCCAAAATAGTAGCATTGTTTAGGTTATCTTGATTTAAAAATAAAATGTTAAAGTGCCTTTAGCTGTGCAGGAGACACACCAAAAAGAAGAAGTAACTGCATATGGCAAACACTCTTTCCTTCATGTGCTAGCCTTGGTCTTTCTCTGTAACTTACAATGTCAAACTGGTGACACGTTCTTCTGTATGTAAACATGAGTGGCCCCTAAGTGTTGACAGTGAATCTCTAGTCCCATGTATGTCCTTCCCTGTAGGCCGGAGTGAAAAAGTTTATCCACTATTCTTAAATTATATTTTCCCCTTAAACATTAGAGTAAAACTGGGAATTTCCTTATTAATGGTTTATTGCAAGTTCTTACATATTAGTTTCATTCAGGTCTGGCCACTGTGATTGTGAGTTACTTTTCTTCATGGTTATCTGACCACACACCAATCTGTTGTGTATCATTTATAATGTAATGTTACTCAGTGTGGAAATAAAAAATGGAATGAAAAAAAATTGGGTTCAAATGCAAGTGTATTTGAAGCTCTGGATCATATTTTCAGCAAATGGTGATGGAATATATTTAAAAGTCAAAAGGCATTGCAGTACTATTCTGTGACCAAAGTCAGCCACACCTAAAGAGGCAGAAAACAATAAATGAAGGGCAGTGCAAAAGTGTTGTCTGCGCCACCACCACCAGGATCACTCTGCGTGCAGCGGAAGCCTTTAGCAGTGAGGGTAGGGAAAGTAAGATCGAAAGGAAAAGGTCATTGTCAAAATAGAGAAAGAGGACAAAATTGGATACACAGAGCATTCATCTAATTCACAATTGTCAAAACTCAGGATATGAAAAGACAGTTATAAAAATTCACTCATTATAATGTCACTGCTAAGGTAAGCCCTTGTGAAAGGACTTAAGGTACGAACTCGTGAAGTTAGCTGATAGAAGTGCCGACCCCATAAGCTAAGTCTCCTTACTTTACCCATCTCCGGCGAGGGGGCGTTGCAGAGACTTCTTTGTTGGCCAACTGGCTTGGGACACATCAGCCTCTCGGGTATGGGTGGCTGACTGCAGGGTCTACATTTATCTGCTTCATACTTTTCCCAAATAATCATATTGTAAACTTACCTAGTAAGAATGAGACTTGCAGCATACATGTTTTTTCCTTCATTCACACTAAGAATAAACAAATCACTTCTTGCAATAATAGAAGAAAATATATAATATGGTACTAATATTTTGATAACTGTGTACTATTAAACACCTTTCCCATTGTGTGTGAAGCTCAAACAGTATAATATAAAAACGATTACTCGAGTATATGATCTAGTGTATTGAAAATTTCACATTGCTTAAAAGATTTGATCCAACATAGTCCAGCAGTAGGAGTGAGGTAAATACCTGTATTTCATTTGGAAATAATAATGTGACATTTTGTTGTTTTAAGTTATATGTAGGAGACACATTATGTTCATTATAATGTAGTCTCTAGGAAACAGGCCAAAGCTTATGCTCTAAAGTATGTTTCTAATTGTAATAACTTATTTATTACACAGCAATAGTTTAAATGGTTACAGAGACTCTTCTAGAATATTTTTTTCCTGTCAGCATTGTTTCACCATAATATTATGCAGAATTTTCCAGTTGACTTTCTGCTTTTCCTCAAACCCAAACTGCAATCACAGAAGTGGAGGAAATATGCCCATTTATTCTTACAAAAATGCTTGTTTCGGTCTTACACATCTTCACAGTTGCTTAAACCCAAAACCACGCAGAGTGAAAGTAAAACATCAAATAGTTTTCTCAGAAAAATGTTCATTCTATGAAGTAATTGTTATTAAATACTTTTGGATCAACAAACTGGTAACTTTAAGATGGTATTAAATGATATTTCTGCTCATATAAATTCGGCAAACTTTTGTCAATTTCAGTACATGTCTGGAGAGTCCAGGAAAGTATTATCTAGAGAAATTTTATTGACTAATACAGTAATGAATGATTCCAGTTCTTAATAGTCTTTTATTCTGTTTGCCTATTTTATTAGCTTGCCATGAATTGCTTATCTAAATCAGTTTTCCATTTTTAATATTGTGTAGTACTTAATATGCCTTTACTTGGTATTTGTAAAAGGAGTAATAATTTTTAGCATAATTTGGTATAGAAAATATTATGATTCATTTTGATATTTATGAAGTATGTATTACTTTTTGACAATTTGAGGGGATAGACAATAAGTAAGTGTATCTTCTTTTTCTGATTTAGAACATCCCTAAAATTATCTTAATATATCATAAGTTGAAATGATATTAAGATTTCTAGCTATGAGCTGATACAGGTCAAACTCAGAATAATTCAAATCAATGCTGCCAAGTCGGGAAGTGAACTGTGGGAAAGAGGCTCTCAAGGCGTCCTGGGACGCAGACGTCAGGGTGCTGTACATGGTGCTCCAACATAACATCTGTTCTCTGGGGTGTGGATTTGCTGAGGCTGGGGCGGGGTGTGGCACCAGCAGGACAGGTGAGGTGTCTGTGGCTCAGTCCAGCCGATATCGTAGATTGTGGAAGGGCACAGACTAGAAAACTGACGGAGCCCGAGTAATAAAAGACTCCAGGCAGCAGTTCAGCTGCTCAGGCTGACAGTGTCATGGCCCCTACAGGTTTCCTTTAGGGCCTGGGGCCAGCGGCTTCACACTGGCAAAATTGCACCCGTTTTCCAGCATAAAACAAATATGACCGCCTTGCTTCTGGTAATATTTTACAGACACATTTTAATTAAGTTCAAAACTTAGTCTACACTTACAGTGAATTTATATGTGTGGGTGTGTTTTGCGTGTGCATGAATGGGGGGTACTCTTATTCTGAACAATTTAAATTAGGGCCTTATTTTGAACAATGTTTTTGAGAATTGATTGCTTTGAAAATGTGCATCTTTCTTCCTGTGAATAGAATTTGTCTTAGTCTATTTTCTTGATACTCTTATCACAGTGATTTGCTTTAAGTTTTGGAAAGCTTGTTGAATATTCTGTGCTCGTTTGAATTTTTAATTTATATTGTTTTATATTATTCTTTAGTTAATGTATTTACTAAGGCTTGTCTTTTCAGTTAGATTGTGTTGATAGTAATTGCTCAAACACAGATTTTGTTTTCTGCTAGGGTGTTGTGAAGCGGCAAATCAAACTGAAGTCTAAGTTAAGATTCTAAAACTAGAACTTTGCCTTTGTGTCATGTACATATAAGTGTGGGTAAAGACTGACCGAACTTGAATTCATAATGGTAGATCATTCTGTAGTAAAAGATACTTAATCTTGAGAGTGGCAGCTCTCTCATATTTCCTGATATTTAAGAGTATTTCTATTCTTTGAAGCCTTTGACAGTACATAAGTCTTGAGGACATACTTTAGTGAGCCAAGTTCCTTATTTTTTAAATAGCTTCTTCTGCTAGAAAGGCAATACATATGTGTAAAAATATTTATTTTAGCTGGAATATAAAAGTAGCTAAGAAAAATGAACCAGAAGTTAAAATTGGTTGCAGCATCACCGTTTGTTGTACTAAATGATCATTTGCATAAATGCAGTGAATGGTTGGCAACAGGACTGCTTTCCCACCACCTAATGCACCAGTTAATTCTTAACTTGATAATGGTAGCGTTAATTTTCTCTGAATCTTGCTAGAGAGCTCCTGCCTTCAGATTGAGCCGTGTGTAAGTGCTATTTTGTGCATAATTGTGTCTACACAGTGTGGTCTGCATATCCTTCATGATCACACCAACAGGGAGTCATTAGGAAAAAGACCGCCATAGTGTACATAAGTGGTTAGATTCCAGGATGTTTTACGGTTCAGGTTGGAAGAAATTATTGAGTTTCTTTAATTTCTAATTAAAGATGTACTATTGTGAGAACTTTTGGAACTGCTGTACTAAACCTAAATTCATATTACTTGACAGCCCTTCTTACATTATTCATTATAAGTAAAATAAAGATGAGTATACACCGAACCATAGTTCTGATTTATTTTACCATTTATGTTGGCCTAAAGGAAGAACCAAGATTTAATTTTTTCCTAGCTTTGTCTTTTTAAACTTTTAAAGTTTTAAGTATCAGTAGATGTTCATACAATATTGAATCTCATATATGGTACCTTATACAAAATTGGATTGTTGTAAAAAGTGTTACGTTGTAGTATGTATAACAAACATTTAAATTAAACATTGTTTACAAGCTATATGTATGTATATATATACATAGTCTTAAAGTATGCACATTTACAAATCACATTAACTTCAGTTATTGCTGATTCTTCTTTCATGATGCAGTTTATAATTTTTAAATTAACATGTATTTTATTTTTTTAGGGAATTCCAGGATTTCCTGGAAACCAAGGTTTGATGGGACAGAAGGTTAGTATTAATGAGATCTGAAAGACCTGGGCCTGGATATACTTATTGGAGGAGTAAAGTGGTGATGAATTGTTACCTTCACATAAAGCACATTATTTACAACATTCATAGTAACCATTACCTGTTCAATATTACATAATTTCAGAAAATGTTAGTTTTCATTGTTTTTGTTTTATTTAGGTAACATTAATTTGTATTTAAATATATATGTATACTATTTTACTTCATTACTGTTCTGTGTTGTGCTCTGAGATTAACATTTTAAAAAAATTTACTTCCTGAATGTATTTTAAAATATTCTTTTAATACAAGTATCTTGATAATAAACTTTTAAGTGTTTAATTAAGTACAAATTTCTTTATTTATTTTTTTTTTTTTTTGGTTTTTCTCCGGTACCAGGAACCGAACTCACGACCTTGCGCTTGCCAAGCAGGCGCTTTTTGCCGCTGAGCTAAACCCCCAGCCCCCAAATTTCTTTATTTTATTCTTAGTTTTAAAAGATAATTTTGTAGCATGGCACTTGGGGTTACTATTTTCTCTTAATGCACTGGTAGTTTCTTTCCATTGTTTTCTGACTTTCATTGTTTAACCCTAAAAATCTGTTGTCATTCTAACTATCATTGTTCAATAAGTGATCTATTCCTTTCTTTTGGATTTTTTAAAAAGTATTTTTATTTGTAGTGTTCGTAAGTTCAATAAAAAGGATCTAGTTATGGATTTTTCTTTACTCATCTGGCTAAGAATTAAGTTTGCTTCCTGGTTTTCTAGAATTGTTTCTGTTAATTCTGGAAAAATATCAGCCATTATCTCTATATTACTTCTAGTTTATTCCTTTTGGAATATTTTATTTCTCACAGTTTCAATTCCTGTATCTCTTAATGACATCTTTATATTTTCATATCTTTGATTCTGTCTTCCATTCAGGTTAAATTATTAGGATATAGTTTCTATTTACTTACTCATTCTTTGTTGTTTTTAACCTGGTGTCTAATGCATCAATTGATTTAAAAAATATAAACAAGCTAGATACAGTGCAATATTTCTAATTAAAGCATTTAGGAGACTGAGGCAGGAGGATCATGAGTTCAAGACCTGCCTGGGTTACATAATGGTCTAGACTAGATAGTGAAACCCTATATATATATTTTTATTTTTGTTATTTCTAGTTTTTAAAACAATATCTTTTTGAGTTTTTGTTCTTCTTGTACTTTCAGTTTCAATAATAATTTATACTTCCATTTTTTAACTTTTAAATGTCTCATCTATAATTCTTATATGTAGGTATCATATATAGTTCTATTTCTAACAGTACCAATATTTCTAATTGTCTATTTCTAATTACCAATTTGTAATTTGTTACTGCCATGGTGTCTCAGACCTGTCACTTGCTGTCTCTTGTTTCTTTGCTGCTGATTGTGAATTCATTGCTACGTCTCAATTTTGTAGAAGGTTTTGGCATAACTGGTTAGTGGAGAGCTGATTTGTGGTAGCCATAGGTATCATTTGAGCCCCCTTTTGAAATCCTGAGTTGATGTAGGCATTAAAGCATTCTGCTTTCTCCCTATGGTTAGCCAGAGTTCAATTTCCTAATAACTGAATATGTACCCTAATCCCTTTCTGGGTCCTGCATGTTTACCTTTACATGATTTCTGCATAGTACCAAATGCTCAGATGTATAGCTCCAACCTAGATTATATATTTTTTAACTGGGACATCACTGAATATTTCCCCTACTGCTTAGAATATCAACACTCACTCACAGAGGGGTTTTCTTCAGGGTTTTTGTTCTAAATTTAATATCCCTTAGAATACCTAGTCAGTCACAATCCCAGAAGCAATAGTCTAAATTCTATTATTCTAACTCTCATTTTATTTGCTAATCTATATTCACTACCATAGCTCTTAAGCTGTGTGAGAAATGAATTTTTTACTTGTTTTCCTTGTTATGTATCACCAAGGGTCTGAGCCTCTAGGTCTTCCATTGGTAAAATGGCAAGTGTCACTACAGGTTTCACAACGGGAATGTTGGACTGATTCTGCGGGGTCTCGACCCAGGTGTTTTAGGTGCTGAATTTCTGGTTTTCCTGTTTTACTTTGCTTCTTTCTTGCAGTAAAGAAGTGAAAGCAGATAAATTGGGGGTGATTGATGTGGAATTTTCATTGTATAGTTCTTTGATAAAATAATTTTGAGAGTGAATTGATAATGTAGAAGTTTTAAATTTGATCTGCATTTTATTTTTTAGGGTGAAATTGGGCCTCCAGGACCAGTAGGAAAGAAAGGAGCCCCAGGATTGCCAGTATGTTAAAGTCATTATTGTGAGGGTGTTTGCAGTGTTGTTATTATGTACAAGGAGTTTGTATCATGGAGTTCACAGAGCTGTTCAAGATATAACAGTGACATTTTTGAACTACACAAATTTCATCCACTTGTATTTAAAACATTATATTTATTTCCATTTTTCTAGAAGAGTCAGGATTCCTCAGACCCTCAAAAAGTTGCCCATTCAAATAAAAGTTACAGCCCCTTACTGTAGATAAATACAAAAATCAATGGAGTAGATACTCATTAAAAAGAATACCAACTACACCGAAATAGTAGAAAACTCAATGAGTACTCTTTTTTACTTGTAAAATATTTATAACTTATTATACTTATGAAGAATACATTCATATGAGGAAGAATACAAAAATTCTAAATCAGTGAATGAGTTATTTTAGAAAATTTAGGAGTACAGGAGACATATATGAATTTTTTACTTGTTTTCCTTGATATTAAAAACTATGTAAATCTAATCATGCATGTGCAAGATTTCAAAAATGTTTTAAATTTATTGCCAGAAGTGATATTGATTTTAATATTTGAATCAAACTACCCATCATGATTTTCATATTTGAAAACTTGTGACTCAGTTATGAACAATAGATGTTAAAAATAGACATTTTACCTAGTGCTTAGTGAACTAGTTTGCGAATTTTGCATCCAACGGTATATAAGGAAAATAGCCATTAATATGAATTTAAGTTTGAGGACATTGAAATGAAAAAAATTTTCCCCTTCAAAACAAAATAGTCTCCTCTATTTCATAATCACTAAAAATTATTTAGGAATGAGAATAATTAATTAAATTTGGTCACAAATATCTAACTTTGTCTCCAGAAAAGAAAGTTATTGGTTAGTGTTCATTGTACTTTAATAATATATATACTGAAGATTTTAAATATTTTATCTGCTTGCTATGAACTAGTATATTTCATGTTATTACAGTATCATGCCAAGTTAATAGCAAAGCATTGTAGTAGTGACATGATATTTTAAATATGACCATACTGAGACTATGTTTTCTGGTATCATGTATTGTGTTCTGATTTTCTTTTGTACACATCACATTTCTTTGTTGAAGTATTACATATATGTGTGTATATATGTATATATATATAGAAAGAGAGAGAAAGAATGCTTATGTAATCTTAAAGTAGAAATAAATATAGTATATACTATAATATTTAGATATATAATATATGTATATAATTAGTTATAATAGAATATAAATTAAACCAGGTCCTACTTGCCATAATCATGTGGTTATTTTATTTTAAATCATATGGTTAGTTAAAAATATAGCTCTTTTGTAACTTGAGGATAGATTATTATAGTCACAAAATTTATTAAGTTATAACTCTTTCAAAGTATTGTTCAAGATAATATAAATTGTACGTGATATCAAAATAATATATATGAAGAAAAGTACTTCCTAGCTCTCATAACAAAACTAAGAACATGGAAAATATATTTTTCTTTATAAATTCATCTTTTACAACTTTCTCATTTGGTGTTTTGTTGGTTTCTTTTTTGAACAATAGAATTATAAGGGCTCTTCTAGCCTTCATTCTATCTTGCATACTTTGATTCCTTTACTGTTCTTTGTTAAGATGATGTGGGGAAATTTACCAAATACTGTATTACTACTCAGTTCATTCATTATTATAAGAGTGTTTATTTTGGAAACACAGGAATACCTTGGCACGTGAGTGCTTCTGCTTGCAACCAATTTGGCAAAATTTTGCGTCCTTTCACAAACTCCCCATTGGGAGACAAATACGGCCACGGCCCTCTGCCCCACACAAACACAAACGCAGCCATCTTCCCCCAAATCATAAAACAAATTAACTTTGTAAACTGAAATGCCACTGTAGATACAATAATTTTGTATTCTTCCGTGAACTGCTGCTGAAATTCCAACTTCAAATTGTAGGGTTTGATGGGAAACCGCGGCCCACCAGGTCAAGCTGGCGCGACAGGATCTAAGGTAAACATGAAGAAGTGGAAAGCTCGAGAACTTCCGCGGTCACAGGGACCTTTCACAGCTCCTGTGACAATTTTAGTCACTTGTAATAGTGTAATCACAGGCAAAAGCTCAGCATATGAAACAGCTAAAATAAAATGGATCCGGTTTAAGCAAGAGAAAAGCCCCGAATTCCCCTTCGGCTGGTCCCTCTCCTCTTTGCGTGTCTCGGGGACCACCCAGGAACACTTACAGCTTCCTGGGGCATGTGGTGCCCAGGGCAGCGACCCCGAGCCCTGAGCGTCTGCAGTTAGAGTAGAAGATGCCACTCACCAAGTTTCCTGTCTGTTTGATATTTGCACTAATTGGGGCACCTGTGAATTTTTCTTTGCAAAATGCTTGTAATAAACTTTGTTAAACTTCAGCTGTTCCCTGGGATAAGGAACATGTCATACTTACTTTTAAATTTAAATAAAAGTAAGGGAAGCAAAAGGAAGTAAAGGATGCTATCAAGTTGTCATCTTTAAGATAAAAATTAATTCTGTGAGAATATAGAATCATGCACTAAGAGAACTACTATTCTTACTTCGATTTGTGGGTCAGTTTACCAATCTCTGTTGTAACATATCCCTGCTTTAGAAACTCAATATATGTTGACTTTGCCTTTTATATCATCTGTAGAAGTTCTAAGTTAAACAAATGTGTTATTTGCATAAGGCAGAAAATAAACCTGGCTAAAGTCAGAAAACTATTCCAAACTATTTAGGAGGTAGATTCTAGGCTAGCCTTCCAAAATGATAGTTTTCTTGTAGAATCATTTGGTCTTGACTGAAATGCAAGATTCATATTTGGGCTAATCTATTCAAATTTTAATTTCTAAAATATTAGAAAAATTTATAAAATTTCATGAGGGCTCAGTGATTTGGGAAAGGTAAGTGCTTTTTCATTGGCTTTGGATCCTTGTGAATATTTGGAATAGCGTGAGTCCTAGTGGCAGGGGCTGTGCAGAGTTGGTCAGAAGCTGTTCTCTCCAAGAAGACATGCTCCTTAATTTCTCAAGGTCATTTGGTAAAAGTTATATACTACAGTGGTCTCTACCATGATTTTCTGAGTGTTCTAATTCTCAAAAATGCAGCCTTAGATTGCATCAGCTTTATCATTATTATTATTATTTATTATTATTATTATTAGCCATATCATACTGTCAGTTCAGGCTGAGCTAGAGGTCAGTTGAATCTTCTGGATTATCCATTAAAGACTTGAGAACAAAGCCTTTGTTTCAGTGTCTATCACATGAGGAGATTCTACTTATTTGTCTAGATAGACATACCCAAACTCTATATCATAGTTTGCCTATGTTAAAATGAATTCCTATGATTTCTTTTCCTACATTTTGCATTTATGCAATGCTTTCATTAAAAATAGACCTAAGGAGAATTACAGCTCTTAAGGTGTAGGTAAAATTATATCTATTAATATTCAAATATTTCAGCTTCTTCCCATGTAGTATATTAAAGTGTTGGAAACTTTTTTTTTTTTTTTTTTTTTTTTTTTTACAAAGAGCCAGATAGTAAATATTTTGGGTTTTAAGGACCATATTACCATTATTACTACCATTGTGTTACTTGCTCTTGTAACATGCAAATATACTTGGACAACGTGTAATGAAAGGGCGTGCGACGTGGCTCTGTTCTGCTAACATTTTATTTCAGAAACGTGTGGGACTGGATTTAGCCCATAGATCTGAGTTAACTGAGTTCTGCGTTAGCATATCCCTGAGAGCTTTATCAACTGTACTTTTGTGAGCTATGCCTCAGTGTCATCAGTAAATGATCTTGCTAGTTTGTGACAAAACAGTTGTACTGTGTAGGGTAGGAATAAAGCTGAAAAGCTGGTAAACTTTAGAAAACTTTCAGCTTAGGAAGTTTGTAAGTTTTTAGGAAGTTTCATATTGTTAAAAACAGCCATGCATGACTTATAGCCTGCTTTTCCTTACTATTGCAGATTTGATTTTATAAAAAAATTTACTATATGGGTTTTGAATATAGTAATGTAATTAAGCCATGTAACTTTGGGCAAGTGTTATCAGTTCTGTGTATTTTAGTCTTAAATACTTCAAGTTCAAATATTACACTCACAGATTTCTTACCATGCGTAGCCTACAGAACTTTTTAAAAGCTGAAATGAAGACTCCTTCGCTTATCAGTGAACTAATAAGTCTTTTACTCACTAGCAAGCCCAGGTTGGCCTACTGGGTTGTCACTGTCCTCCCCTACTATGACGTGTGACACAGCCTGTTCAATTACGGGCTCCTCCCAGGCACGGCTTGTGATTTCAGGTATCAACATGTTTGAAAACTAAAACTACTTTCAGTCATCTCACCTGATTAGACAGTGGTCTCCCCAACCTCTCTCTCTTCTCATTTTTTAAATATACTGCTCTTTTTTCCATGTATGATATTCTTTGCTATGCCAACTTGGTATTATTTTTCATGTTTCTGTTAAGACTGCACTAGAACACTCAGAAACAGTAAAAACTAAATACTTTCTGATTCATGTTTCTTTAAAAAAGCCACTATATATGTGAAGCTCATTTATTCAATTACAAACCACAGATGGGTCATACTGAAGAAGGGAGACCGAGGGGGGTGAGGACCTTAAGCCCATAGGATGCTGCTGAGTACACGGCACCTGCCTGTGACTACAGGAACTGAGCTAGTTACTGCTGTCCCGATGGATTCTGATCTTTTCCTTTTACTAGAAGCCACCAGCTTTCATGCTCACAGAGTTTATTAGTGTGTCAACTCAGTTTCTTGCTTAAAAGAGTTTTCTTATACGTAGTTTTGATGTATAGAGTCTAATTCTCAAATAATTTTAAAGGTGAAAATACGTTATTTAAAGTGATTCCCTTAAGCATCTGCATCAAGTACATTATCACTAATTTATTTTTACTAATTCACATCATTTTGGTACATTGGCAGGGGAGCAAAGGTGAACCTGGACTTCAGGGGCTCCCTGGGGCTACTGGGCTCAAGGTAAGTGTGGTTGGGTGTATTGGAAACACTGTCAAAGAATTACAACATACACTGCCTTCATTACTTAGGAAAATTCTCATTTTGTATCCTGTAAGAAAAAAATAAATGAAATTAACAATTATGTGTATAAAAATTAAGGTACATGAAAGGAAATGGTCAATTCAGGGTTACTTTTTATTTTTAGGTAATATGTCATTGAGGAAAAAAGATATGACATATTCTCTGCCTTGAGTTTTCTAGAAATGATAAAGGAGGTACACTAGTGTGAATATATTCTCTCTAGGAGCATATTGTCAATATATTGTTCTGTCTCTTACATATGTATCCTAAATACTGTCAGTGCTTTAAAAAAACTTTTTTGTTCAGAAAAGAAAATCCTTACAGGAGAATGGAGAGTAGGGAAATTGAATTAATATATAATATTCTCTGCACTGGAAACAGCTCAAGAATTTATTTGTGCCAGGTGTGGTGGCATATGCCTGTAATCCCAACACTTGGGAAGCTGAAGCAGAAAGATCATTGTGAGTTCAAAACCAACCTGGGCTACAAAGTGAGCAGAAAGATCATTGTGAGTTCAAAACCAACCTGGGCTACAAAGTGAGCTTAAGACCAGCCTGAACTGCATAGCAAGACCCTGTCTCAAAAAGTCAAAAAAAAGAAAAAAAAGAATTTATTTGAAGCAATTTATTTATAAGATAATATTATCCCATATTTATAAAAAGTATGATCCTAAATAAAATTAAGTATAAGGATGTGGGTACCAACATTATTGTGAAAATAACTGAAAGTTGGAAAGAAAAACAATGGAAATTTTAATTCATAAAACATAATAAATTGGACTAGGTCTGATGATGCACACTTGTAATCCCAGCACTTGGGAGGCGGAGGCAGGAGAATTACTAAGAGTTCAAGCTCGGCCTGGGCTACAAAGTGAATTCAAAGCCAGGCTGAACTGCATAGTGAAACCCTGTCTCAATAATAATAATAATAATAATAATAATAATAATAATAATAATAGTAAAAATCAAAACAGTTGAATATTCTTCTGTACTTAAAAATCACTGTGAAAGTATGTAATGCCATCTAAATAACTTTACAAGATTAAAAAGCATCATATAGAGTACATTTCATTGATTAAATTGTGTATTTTTGAGTTAGAAAACATATAATGAAATAATAATGAACAGTAAGACTTTCAATACTTTTTATTACTTGTATTTGTTAGTTTTGTAACAAAAGCTCTTTAAGGGACCAGTGTGAAAAAAGAAGTTTTGAAGAGAAAGAAAGTGTTAGCAAACAGACAAACAAGAAGGGATGCTTGTGTTCATTACTTTGACCAAGCAATTGTTTATTTTCTAGTTAAAAAGTATAACACATCACGTATTTATAAAAATTTTAAATATGAATGCTATTAGAATTGTTCAACTGGAAAAAAATTAGGGAAAATACAGAAAATTTTATATGGATTCTAATAAACTTTTCATTGTTTATAATTTTTATGGTTATAACTCTAAATGCCAATCATATTTTAACCATGTTTTTATATTTGAGATATTAAGTAAAGAAAAAAACAGCGTTTTCAGCAGCAGTAGGTTGGTGTTCTCTTCAGAATTTCTGTGCTCCCCAGGGAGAACCAGGATCAAGGGGTCTTCCAGGAGAACCGGGGTACATGGGCCTCCCTGGGACTCAAGGGACAAAGGTATGCACTGTTCAGCAGATATGTCACTTTTAATCAGACATAGTGTGTGCATTTTCCTCTTATGGCATTAGCATACTAGGAGCAGTTGTATTTGTGATGATATGCCACCTTCTGGACTTGGTGAACGTGTGCTGTGTTCAGCCCTGTGATGGTGGCTGTGGAATCTTTTGTATCTTTGTGCAGGAGCTGTCTCCTAGGTGAAGACCTCAGAAGAAGCATGCATGCAGATCAGAGAATATATAACATACAATTAAGTAATATTTTGTAAACCCAATCATTGTGAAGTCAAGTCAAATGAGCCAAGATTTGTTTTTATTTGATATCGGGCAATCTTACCAAATATGAATACCACATGTTACTATAACTGGGACACAACCTGAAACAATAAAAATTACATGCAGAATTCTTGACCATGGAGTTCCTATTTATGAGGCAACTATATTTCACAGATATTCAATGAAAATTGTTATAAGCAGTTTAAAATACAAACATGTACGCTCATTTAAAATTTTGTGGTTTTGACAGTAGCACTGCGTACCTCACAGAACCTTGTTTTGGCCAAGTGCAGGAACCGTGAGCTGTACCTTTGTAGATACTATTAGATATTTACCGGTATTTAGAAACAGACGATGTCCTTTTGCTAAAAGAGTCCATGCCACTGCAGACACACACACTTCAGACTAACAGTGATCATCTGGCTGTTACTCTGGAAAGGGTATAAACTGTTATGTCTCCATCTCCATTTTCCTTACTGGCTCGGATGTCTGTCATTTCATCATTCTGTCCCCATGTATTATCTGTTTGCCCTCTAGACTGTGACACACTGTGTGATTCTTTTTGAAAAGCTCATTATTACCCATGCATGTGTGCAGTACACAATAACCACACTCACTGGGGGACCTGGTGCATGGGCAGAACCCAATCCAGTTCTGATTTTTACCCTCGCCCCCTCCTTCCCGCTCCCTCCCCCGCCCTCCCATTCCCTCCCACTACTCCTTCCCCTTCCTCCCCCTCCCTCCATGTCTTGGTCTGTTTCCCTTTTACAAAAGATCGACCTGCCTGTTTACTGCCATCTTTTGTTTTGCTCCTTACTTGTTTTGGGTATGATTCCTGACCTTTCAGTGTTTCTTGATAAGCAGGAAGCAGCACTTGCTCAGACAAGCATGACTCTTCAAAGCAGAGTTGAATTTTAGTCTTAGAGAATGTTGGGGAAATCTACTGTGGAAATACGACTGGGATGAAGAGAATTTTCTTATTCAAAAACGTGTCATTTAAAGCAAACTTGAAGCAAACATGAAATTTCACTCTGATTAAATGGCATGGTGGGGAGGAAAGGGAATGTGGAAACAGCATTCAGCCCAGCCTTGGGCCGGTGCCTACCTTTCCTGACCAGCAGCTCCGTACCTATGAAAATGAGGGTGTTACCGCAGTGGGTCTCTTATTTCTCTTCCAGTTGGGAAATTCTTCAAAACTTATTATGGAACATGAGTTTTCCTTCAAAAACCCATTTTTAAGCACACATTCTCTAAAATATCATTTAAACAATATTGTGTTTTACTTTGTCATTGTTTCCTCTAAACTTGTAGCTAGTATTAGCTTAATGGGAGATTTTCGGTTTCCTTATGTACAACTGTGTTTGTCCAAACAAGCCCTCTTTTGTTATTTTGTTTAACCTCAAATGGTGAACAATATAAAGGAGTGTTCTTCCTGGTAGCATAAGATTGGGGGAATTTGCTTTTGAATGTAGGAGCACAAGAGATTGTCCTTTTTTTTTCAAACAGGCATAAGAGGATTTATTAGGTGGAATTAAAAAGACACTGAAAGAAAATAGAGTATGGGTCCTTGAGAGAGATACAGTGTAGTCTGGAGCAGGAATATTTATGTATTTTTGGTAGTGGAAATCTGTAGAATTTATGAATCTATAGAAGGTTTTGCCTTGGTTTATAGGAAAAACATAATGGTTCACCCACAGGTAGAAAGATAATGGCTCATTTTACAGGAGAAAAGTGGGGTCCTGGTCTATTGTATCTGTTTGTTTCTTTTGTTTGTTTCTTTAAAATAGGTCATCTAAGATTATTTGCCTAAAGTACATATTTTGAAACTTTTGAATCTGTATCTTCATCTGAAGATCAGTTTTCTGCCTTTTACTTTGTTCAACTAAGCTAATTTATTGACCTATTGAAGGGATTTTGGGTGTGACAGGCCTGGAAGAAATGAAGCATAAACAATCCTAGGTAATACAGAGATGGACAAGCCTGGGCTACTTGTTGTGGCCTGAAGTGGCAGTCTTCTTGAAATTACAATTTATGAATTATCGTTTTCCTTGTCTCTTTTCTACCTGTCTTTATTTCTTCTATCCTACCTCAGCCCCTCTCCCAAGACTTTGATCTTTTATTCTTGAGGGAAGGCAGGAGCTGATGGTCCCTTTGCTTACTGTTGCTTCAGGCTCTAGGAGATGGGGAGAGGCTGCCCCTGCCGAAACCCAGGGGTCAGGAATCCGACTTTGATAGAAAGGAGACACAGCAAGATGGTTTTGTTGCTTGAGGAACCATCACCCTTTGATCTTATGAAAAATGGAGTTAGGACATTCGCAAGTCATTGCTGCTTAAGCTTCTCTTTATAACCATGTTGAATAAGCAGGGGTCAAAAATTAAAAGTAGAATATTGGCAAATAGTGGTTGAAGTCAGACAAAATTGTGCAGCATTTGACAGAAGACTTTTATCTTTAAAGATAACGTTTATTAACTTTTGAAGTTTTGGGGTTTTGTACTGGGAATTAAACTCAGGACCTTCTGCTCACCAGGTAGGCACTGTGCCACTGAGCTATATCCCCTACACAACTTTTGAAGTGTTTACTCAAGTACAATAGGTAAAGTTTAAGAGGATATCGACTTCCCTGTTTTGTTAATAAGAAATCCAATTTCCTTCTATTTTAATCATGTAAATCTTCGAAGAATACATTAAAGCAAGATATTTATGTTTCTATGTGACCAATGGGTCGTTAAAGTTCTTACCTAGGGTCTGGCTTCCATTCCATAGACTTGAAAACCTTTTGTAATGGCGAGCTTCAGATGGTATTCTTATATGAAGTCTGGGTTAGATAACAGATGACTACAACAGTAATAGCAGGATCTGAATACACCGAGAGAGACTGCAAGAGTCCCACTAGTGGGACTGGGAATTATGACTTCTTACACCTGTATATTAAGGGGTTATAAATACATCTAGAGACTGCCTGTGGAGTGAGTGCAGTCTTTGAATCCCCTTTTTATGTCTAGTCTAGTTCCCTCTGTTTTCATATTACTATTAATTACTCTGTTTTGGTTACATTTTCCTGCTGGTTGTTTAAGATTAATACAGGTCAGAGTCAGACCCGTATTAATCAAAATTTGTCTATCATCTGTCTATCTATCTCTCTATTTATCTGTCTATCTGTCATCTGTCAAGGATAGTTAGGGCCCTTTAGCTCCTCTAGTTTTTCTCCTACCAGTTATATCATGTTCCAGGATGGATGATACTCTTGCTTGACCATGTGGCTTTCCTTCAAAGTACGGAACAATCCCTCTTTAGTGACCCTCCTTTCTGCAAAATCACATTGGTTGATGTGTGTCTCTCACTGCTGAGACAAAATATCCAGAACCCAAAGTTAAAGGAGAAAAGCTTTATTTACTTCACAATTTGTAGAGGTTTAATTCCATAATCGGCTGGTTCTGAGGCAGAGTAGCACCTGGTGGACGGACGTTAGAGAGGAGAATCAGTTCATGCCATGCAGACAGGCCAGAGCAAGCAAGCAAGGGACTTTCAGTGCCTTTCTGCCCCTTCTGTCTTATCCAGGCTACTTAGGGCAGGCAGCACTTGCACCTTTAATCCTAGTGCCTTTGAACCCAGCATTGCACCATGAATCAATTCCAGGGTCATACACTCGGTCTGGAGAAAGCCCCACCCATGACTGCATGAAGTTTTGAAGGGACATCTATACACAAGCCATAACAGTTGACTCCTGTCCCCTGGAGTCCAAAAATCCCCCTGAGTGACTCAGTGAGTTGTAGGACCTTTTCAGAGGGATCCTGTTATACCCTGGATGACCATGGAGGGCAAGGGGTAAAAACTTGGCTATCCTTGTAGTGTTGTTATTTTCCTTAGCCTTGGTCTCCAAGCCTCAAGTGTTACACACCCAGAGGGTTGGTTACACCAGTCTTGAAGTGGGACCAGTAGGTCGTAATCCTGTCCTAATCTTTTCTGAATATTGGGCACTTAGAAATATAAAGTAGGACCAGATAGGAGCTGTTTTAGAATAGCATTATGACATATATGCTTCTATTCTCTGCCCAAATACTGTGTTAGAAGTCTATGTATAAAATCTGTGGAAATTGCATAACATCATTGCATATATTCTTTGCTGACAAAAACCATGGTTATTTGAAGGGATACTGAGTATACTATATTATGATACACATCTACTGTTTTTTTCCTAGGGGGATAAAGGAAATCAAGGGGGAAAAGGCATTCAGGTATGTTGTTTTTACTTTGGCATAACAATAAAATAAGGGCTTTGCTCTTTTAAATTCTTATTCTTATACAGATTTTCCAATTTCTTCCTATTTCATGGTCAACAATGATTGTTAAATCATATCTTTCTCCTTTTGCTACTAAGCTTTTAGGCAATATCAGATCTAACTTCAAAGTTCTTTACCATTTTATTGTCATAGAAAACTTGAGAACCAAATGGTTCAACAAAGTAAAGACATTAATTTTATTACATATTCCTCTTATCTATTTATATATTTACAATGTGTAAATTTATAACCACAATTTTAAATTGCTCTTGGTGAAAAGGTGATAAGAAACCATTCATACCAATTATAAAGCATATTCAATTTATTACATAGGGGAAGAATTGCACTAGAGAATTATATTACACTGAGGAAATCCTAGAATGGTTTAGAAAGGCATTGAGTTTTGGGAGTCTTAGCAACAAAGGCCAGTAAGAGAATCTTGCTACTGCTTTGGAGAACAAACATAGTTTCACTGAAGTTAATTTAAGCAGCTGTAGGATGGCTTTTTTTCTTTAATTGAATGCTGCCACTTGGATAGGAAATCATGAACTGAGTAACTTATATATTTACCTACAATAAATTATATCTATTGGTCTTTCAATCTTATAAGGTTTCAAATGTTAAACAATTCCCAACCATAAATCACAAATACAGTTTTCAGACATTATTTTACTGTGATTTTTTTTTTTCTTTTTTTTCTGGTACTGGGAATCGAACTCATGACCTCATGCTTGCCAGGCAGGCACTGTGCCACTGAGCTAAATCCCCAGCCCTTGGACAGTATTTTAATAATAGTTTTAGGATTATAAAACTCAGTTATACTGGCTGAGCTTTACTACTCAGAATAAACTTAAACTTCAGAGAAAAATACTTTGAAACATTTCATTAATATAAAATCTTGGAGATAAGGGAATGATTTAAAATTGAAGTAATAATAGTAAAAATCTGCTAAGTTTATAGTCTCAACAGTCTCTACTCATGAATCTTCCTCATGACATGTATGGCTTCCTTTAGAGTGCCATGATAAAATTCAGTTATGGATCAGATATTGTTTACTTAAAATCTTGAAGCAACAGTATAATACAGTTACTTTAAGTTAATCTTGACATTAGGAGCAAAGTAAATTTTTAGTACTTATGAGCTCCACACACCCATGTGTTCCAGTACCCATTTTGGTATTACATTTGGTTGCTTCAAATTTACTCAAATTCCACATTAAGCCTACATTAAGCTTTCCCCAAAAATTTTCCCCCCAAAATCCGCTTCCTGCTCATACATTCTTTACCACAGTAATTTGGTACTACCTCCCCTCCCACATTAGAAGTCATCCATTCAAACACCACGCGTCTTTCTCTCATCAGCATCTGGTCATTTAATCAGTTTTAAATATCTCACGGTCTTGGCTCCTTCTCCCTGTCCTCATTGACCCAGTCATTTTGCATTGGGAGTTTTAATTTCACGCAGTATTTTTTTAACTGACCTTCTTGAGTTCAGTCTACTTTCTTTCCCCCATACTTTTGCTAATATGTAGTGGCTGAGCCCTGCATCTGCCTAACAGTCCTTTAGGGCTGCTCATCATGTTCATGACCTTCCACCTCGTGAGGTGTCTCCTGGCTTGACTGACTGTTCTTCTTTAGTGTTATTTCCTGCTGTTCTCTCCACCGTTTTCTACTCTCGCTCAGCTGCTTTGACCAAAAGGAGTCACATGCCTTTGCGGTGCCTGAGCTCCCTGGCATGCTGTCCTTGCCTTTCTCTCAGTGGCCAGCGCTCAGTGGGCCTTCAAGCCATGCTCAAGGCCATCGTACCCCTTGCCCTCTCTGTCAGACACCCCTTCCTGTGTTCCAGCAGTATTCAGCCGGATGTTTAACTGTATATTGTACACCTGTCTGACACTATTTTTCTCATTTTTGATTTTAATGTTATCTTTACTGTCACAGAATAAGTAACTTAAAAGCAACAGTGATACCTTTCTCTGATTTAAAGATCTTCATTTGAGTGTTTTATTCCTAACAGTATCTTTAGTTCTAAAGAAAAATTTAAAAATTCAATACTGAACATAATTTATATCTTTTAAACTTTTAAAGTGTCCACATCTATTGTATTTTAAAACTGTTTTTATGCTACTCATATGGGCTGGGCAGATAGATCCAAAATTATTCACATGCTCCCCAAAGTCAGTAGTTGATACTTGTCTCTCTCTGACTGTAAGGTTAGATGGACTTGCTTGTTTTGTCTTCTCTGACTAACAAACTTTCTCATTTAATTTACACATTTGCATCACTGCTCTTGGAATACTCCTATGAGACTTCAAGGTAAAACATAATTTATATTGTGTATTATACTATATGTGTACAGATTAATCAATAATGTTTATTAAATTTTAAAGGGTCAAAAGGGAGAAACTGGAAGACAAGGAATTCCAGGGCAACAGGTATTTTTATTTTGCCTTTGATTAAAAAATAGTGAAATAATCATTTCTTTCATTCCATTGGACTGTGCTGACAGAAGGTTACTTTTAAATAAAAATATGTGGAGAAAAGGGTGGATATGTCACATATTTGTGACAATGCTAGGTGGTGGTAGTAATAATGGTTTTCTTTGTTTTATATTTCATTTTCCAATATTGATAATATTGGCAGCTCTGAGATTTGGTTTTCGGTACTTTCTTCTGGCCAAGGAAATAGAAGCAGAAACTCCGGCCATTTCTGTGAGGAGTCACTGGTCAGAGAAAGCTAGCAGCACATCTCCAAACCTGCGATTGATTTTTGTCTTGAAATGTGAACAGTTGGGACCACATATAGCAAAGGAATGTGCTTATTTCCCTCTAGTTTGTGTAGATATGTAGTTTACTACTCAAGAGAATTACAAAAGACGCTGTCCTGAGGGACTGTGTTGCAAAACAGATGCATAATCAGGTTGTTTTCTTCTCCCCTGACTAAACTGTCCTCTTCAATAATGTCTTAGAGAGATTGCCATATGGCATCTAAGTCCAGATCAAGCCGAAGGCACAGAGGTAACTAATGCCCATGTTTGCTATAGATTCACAGTGTTGAGCTCAGTCCAGCTTGGTCTGGACTGCAAGGGCAAGCTGTATATGCGAATTCTTCCTTGGGTGAACGTCTTGCTGAGTGTGGATGGGAAAGACTGAGCAATAGCCCAGCTCAGGGGATGAAACTGTGCAGCAGTGTCTCTAGGGAAAGACTTATCTTAGAAGACTGCATGATAGCGGGTAGGGCAGAGCGTTGAAAGCCAGTGACCCCAAGGGTTGTCTCTAACATAGAATGGAGGACAATTAAGGAAATGAGAATTTAAAAGCTAACAAGAAAATTGAATTGAATTTGATTTTGTGCAATCATGTTCAATAAAAAATGTTTTAAATGTTGTAGTCTTCTACTTGACTTAAACCCAATCAGTGACACAGCTGCCTCTGTCCTGTACTTCTCCCTGGCAAGACAAAATAATTCTGTTTTCTTAAATTAATCACATAATATCTTTAAATAGCTATTCTCACGGCACCTCCACCCCTTTTCCGTTCAGTCTCTGGGACTTGCACCAGACTCTCATAACAATAACTCTCTGCAAGGACATGTGCTTTGAATTTGAGTTCAGACTTAGCAAGCTCCCTGGCTTCAGGATGATTCTTCTTCCAAAGTCCCGTTAAAGTGTGTTTTTATTTTTTTCACTTCTCAAGAAAAACATCCTGCTCTCCTAAGATAGGATTTGAGTTCCTTGAAAAGCTTCTGCCCTGGGTTTGTCGCATGACACACTTCCCGCGGTCAGGACCTCGGCCTCAGCAGAGCACCAAGGGTCGGGGCCCAGGGGTTTGCAGCCAGCGTACTTGCCCCAGTCTCCTCAATGCGCCAGTTCCTGGGCTGGCGTCTGAGCACATGGCACAAGCTAAGGGCATGTTTTCTCAGCCTCATTTTGTGAATGGAGTCCACATGAATGTTTCTCTCAGGAAGTCATCTTAATGGATTCTCGGATGACAGATGTTTCCTGTTTCAGTTCTGATTCATTTCTCATCCTGAGAACTATTTTATCTTTCTTCTGGCGTTTGTTCCAATTGTAGATTTATGCCCAGTAATAATCACCTCTGCATTTCTTCAGAAATAAACCTTAATGTTTAAAGAATCACCTTACTAAGAGTGTTGAACTCACAACAGGTTGAGTATCACTTAGCTGAAATGTTTGTAACCCAATATGTTTCTGATTTCAGAGTTTTAAAAAGCTGGAATATTTATATATATATAGTATATATACACATATATTTGTATATGCATATCTATCTGTATCTATTTGTTCGAATAGGACTCAAGTACAAGCATGAAATTAATTTACATTTCATAACACAGATACAAAGTCTGGAGGCTTTATGTTGAGATAATTTACCTCCTACAGGGAAATAATAGTATAGACTATTTTAAGTAAATTTATTAAAAAAGAAACTTTTACATATAAGACTAAATGGGGAATTTTCCATTTATGTTCTCATGTTAACACTGAAAAGTTTCAGACTTTGGAACACTTCAGATTTCTAATTTTCAGATTAGAGATACTCAACCTATAATAGATTTTTATATGAAAGATAAATATTTAGTATATTTATGCTCTTGTCTTAATATCTACCTGTTTTTGACACTCAGTTTTCCTAATTATTCCTTTCCTTTGCTCAGTTTGGATATCCATGTTTAATGGACCTGAAAGTAGAAAGCTACACTCCAACTCAAATATAATCATGTGAAATGTTATATATTATACTTGGTGTTTAATTGCTTAATACCAATTTTTATTTTTAACATTGAATTATGGAACAAGCTTGGATGTGTTTCTTGGACTGCTATTGGGTGATTTTAGAGCCTAAGTGTACAATAAATTTCAAACATAGTAAAGTATAATTCCTTTTTTGAGAGTCTTTATAAATATACCTTTAAAAGGAATACAAGAAGTAGAGAAAAATAGATAACAAATAAGAGGGAAAAGTTTTCTATGACTCAGGTAGCTGAATCTAGCAATTAAAATGATGAGGAGCTTCAGGTAGGTACCCTCTAGTGTTTATATCACTGGGTAAAATACCATATTTTACATAATAGTGCTTCTCTAATCTCTTAATTACAGCAATGAGTGGTTTGCCCACAGGAAAATTAGACATATTCTCTCTAATTAATCACTTTTACTTTACTTTATAAACAGTGTTCAATCAAAATTTAATTTTGGTCCATGAAATTGGGAAAATATTACTGCTTGTTTTAATCATAGAATAAACAAAGGTAAATATACCTTACACTTAGTCTATTTTTTTCTTAAGAAAAATATATTTTAAGTCCAGTATAATCACACTAACAACATGATTTGACCAGCAACACAGAAAAATTTTATTTGACGATAAGACAGTTACACAAGTTGAAATATTACCTGGATACCATAATATTTTGGCATTAGCTTTCTTTAAAACAGCTAAAAAAAGGCTTCTTAAACGTGTATTTCTGATTCAAATTCTATCAGTAATTACTAAACTGGAGGTTAGAGTTTGAATTCAAGTTAAATATGTGATAAAAGCTGCTTGCCACATTATTAAGACTGCAGCTCACATATTTATTATATGTTTTTCTCTTGTGTTTCAAAGGGAATTCAAGGCCATCAGGGTGCAAAAGGAGAGGTATGCTTCTTCACGTATGACCCCCTTGCGCAGTGCCAATTGCGTCAGCATTCAATACTGTATAAATGTAACTTTTGATGTTCTAAAGAGGAAATGTCTTTTCTGTTCTTCAGGAGGAGTATTACTTAGAGATTGTTAGTGATACTAATTAGTGATTTTTAAAATATGAATATTTACATTTAGCTGGATATGACATGTTTATTTGCTAGTGTTATGTGTTCTTCTCTGCCGAGAGCTGCATTTTTCTGCATATTTTTCTGAAAGAATGTTTCAAATGGCTATGCTGTGTGTCCCACTAGAACACAAGCTGCTTGGAAGCAGGACAACAGGGTGTCACTAGTGTATCTGAAGCGCTGCGCTTACGGCTTTTGCAACACGCCCAGTCAGTTGTAGATGTCCGTAGGGCTGGCTGGCTGGGGAGATGGATAAATGACAGCTGAGATGAGAGGAAATTTCCTTCCAGGTCAATGATGGACTTTCTTGTTTATTCCTATATTACTTGTACACACATAGGTATATATTTTTAGTCATATTCGTAAAGACTTTTAAGGTATGATTGTACCTTCTGAAATGTTTAAATAGAACCTGTAAAGATATATTCTGCCTTTAGAGAGGTGAGAAAGGAGAACCTGGTGTTAGAGGTGCCCCTGGCCCGAAAGGAGAGTCTGGAATGGATGGCATCGTGGGGCCGACTGGTCCCCGGGGGCTGCCCGGGGCAGCCGGTCCCCCGGGACCTCCAGGACTGGATGGGAAGCCCGTATGTACTCTGCTGCCTTTGCTATTTCTATATTTCACTTGCCTTTTGCTCTGTTTCTACACATAATAACCCCTCATAATTTGATACAGGGCAGAGAATTTTCAGAACAGTTTATTCGGCAAGTTTGCACTGATGTACTAAGAAGTAAGTATCAAGCACAGAGCTTTTCATAACCTTTTCAAAGTATAAAAGTCATACTGATTCTTGGTAGAAAGCATAGAAGATACATTATAAGTCACTCTCTGGGTTTTTTGATAAACATTTTATAAATTAGTTGTTAATTAAGATTTTGTAATATAACTCAGAATTTAATTCATGAATATAGATTTCTATAATTTATCAATTTTTTTCAGGGATATTTTTATTTTCTCCAAGTAATTGCTGTAATAAAATTATTGCATAGAGCAATGACTATTTTGCATATGCCTAGAAATAAAATTATTGGCCAGGAGATATGCATGTATGTAGTAATCATAGATTTTTTTCAGTATGTTTAAAAAGTGATGAGACATATTGTTAACTATGCCTTACCACTGAACCGTAAAGAAGGAGGTTTCTTTGTTATTTAAGCCCAGCTACCAGTCTTTCTTCAGAGTGAGAGAATTCAGAATTGTGCTCATTGCCAGCTGCAACGTGGGCCCCCTGGTGTTCCTGGGCCACCTGGTCCCATGGGTGCAGAAGGTCCCCGCGGATTTCCTGGTTTCCCAGGAAGAGATGGTGTTCCTGGATTAATGGGTACTCCTGGACGTCCAGGTGCCAGAGGATTAAAAGGTAGTCAGTGTGTGTCTTAGTTACTTTTCTCTCGTTGCTGAGACAAAATACCCAACACCCAAAGTTAAAGGGACAAAAAGGTTTATTTAACTCACAGTCTGTAGAGGTTTCAGTCCATAATCACCTGGCTCCAAGGCAGGGTGGCATGGCAGAGGGGCAACAGTTCATGGTGGGAGAAGGCAGAAAAAGCAACAAGAGAGAATGAGACGGGCTTCTTTTGGTCCCTTACACTATATCCAGTCTACCGAGATGAGGGGGGTGCCAATCCAATTAGTGGACTGATCCAGCAGTCGCTCACCCTTAATCCCAGTATTACACTATGAATCAGTCACACACTGCAGATACAGCTACCTCTGAAACAGCCCCACTTAAAACTGCATGAGACTTTGGGGGGCATACAGACACAAGCCATAGCCATGTGTTTGAATAAGCAAGTTAACAAAATGACACTTTTTGTAGTCACACCCTAAATTCATTTAGAAGCAAAAGTTCATCTTTGTTTTCATGACAAAGAATGATTTTTGTAAATCCTTTTCCTTTAAGTACTTTATTAACTGAGTTAAAAAACAATTACTCTGTTTTCTTGAAGTAATATTTTCAAACAGAGGTTAAATGAGTATGTAAAGTTACAGAAGTTGACAATACATTCAGGAGTTTTATTTGAGTCCAAAAAGGTCTTTATATAGAAAATCATAGACACTGTTTTCTCTCATTCCATTTTGATAACTTTCTGCCATGTCACCTTATTCAAAATTGTCTTTATTTCAGCAAAAATTGTTTTGTAACCAAACTTCCTAATAGGCTGTAATCACTTGACTTTGCCCTTAAGTTTTTCTGTAAAATGTCACTTGAAAATTCTTCCTTTTTAAATACTATATAAACTATTCAGATGTTTCATGAGAATAATTAAAAAACAAGCATAATTACCAAAAAGACCAATAATATGTAACCATTGTCTTTTTAAATATTTAATTCAATTAAGTCTTTCTTTGAGAGACCCCTGATGCATTTAGAAATTTTTGCTCAAAAATTCTCTTTCTCATCATTATTTAAAAAGCTGATGATCAGTGACTTTTTAAACATATTTATTTTTCTTTCAATGTTTCTATTAACAACTTTGCAACCATGTAGGATCCAGAGATTTTCACAGCAAAGTCAGTTTACTCAAATATTTGATACTCTGCAGGCCTACCAGGAAAAAATGGGGCAAAGGGGAGCCAAGGGTTCGGGCACCCTGGAGAACAAGGTCCTCCCGGGCCCCCAGGTAAGCGTTGCTGTTCGTGTTATGGTCATCTCCCCTACGTTGCCCAGGGTGCTCTTGAACTCCCAGGTCAAGCAATCCTGCGTCAGCTCCCGAGCAGCTGGGACTACATGTGCACACCAACCTGTCTGACTTGCTGTACATTTTGCTTTAGGCAAAATCTTTAAAAATCTATGTGAAATACTTTAAAAGCAAGACATTTGCTTCCCTTTTGAGTGATGCAGATTTAAAATATTGAGGCTTAGCTACTGTAGTTTTTCTCACATTGTATCCATGCATTGGTTAGGGTGCTCCTCTGCTTGTCTTTCCGTCTAATGTCTAGCTCTGTGATGGTCTGGAGGGGTTTTAGTCATCCCTGTCTATCTAGAGTATAACTGCTTAACTTTTGTGATTCTTGGAGAAGCAGAAAGTGCTTTCCTCCAAGGGTCACAATGTGGGAATAATGGAAAATCTTAAGTACCTTCTGCTGTGCAGCATTCATTTTGCTGCGACTCAGTTTCCTTGTGTGTAAAATGATGATGGTAATAGCGTGGTTCATGCTATTATTGACAGAGATGCAATCATAGTCGTGTTTTCAGTAATTATTTGCTATTATTACTTTAGCTAATTTATTAAGCTTTGAGTGGATCAAACGATTTAATGCTGTTTATCTCAGACATTTAAAACAATACCTACTGGGGCTGGGGTTACAGCTCAGTGGCATAAGTGCCTGCCTGGCAAGCACAAGGTCGTGAGTTTGATCCCTGGTACCACAAAGAAAAGAAAAAAAAAAATGAAAAAAACAATACTTACAATCATACTTTAGTGCTAAATAAATATTTACTAGTGGGAAATAGGAATATTAATAGTAGGGAATATTAGGAAATGCCCCAAATTATTCTGCCTTGTCCTTAAACCTGAATATTTTGTTTTTGTTTGAATCATGAATTTTTAAATTTTAGGATTATCATCCTAAATTAAGTTACCTTCCCTTGAGCATGTTAATTAAACTAACTAGGTTACAGTTCATGAAGTACTGCTTTAAACCTATATTGATGTCTATTGTAATAATGACAATGTATGTAGATATAAAATATAAGTAATATATACATAAAATGAAAATAATCATTTTTACTGCAAATATGGCACAAAATGAGCTCATTAGAGCTTTGGATTACCTTTTATGATGTGCTAATTTAATGTAATATTGGAAAAAGTTAGGCTGAAGGAGAGATAAGTTAGGAAAACCCACCACTGGAATATTAAAATGTTAGCTCAGCTTAGTGGTATCATGACTGTTATATTAATAAGCTTAGCTTGTTCTTAAAAAAAAAATAAGCTTAGCTTGTTCTTAAAAAAAACTGTTGATTACTTTTTGTGGTTCTTTTCAGGAAAGTATGTAGAATTAGCAAGAGAAATACTGCAAATGAGTAAAATGTTCAAGAGGGGATTTTTTCAGGTTGAATTTGTTGCAGAAACAGCTGTTTGACCATCAGTGAGCAAATTCTCCGCTCACACACTGTTAACGTTTGTCCTGCCTCAGGTCCAGAGGGTCCGCCCGGAACAAGCAAAGAAGGTCCACCGGGAGACCCGGGTATCCCCGGCAAAGATGGGGATCACGGGAAGCCTGGGCTCCAGGGCCAGCCAGGCCCCCCTGGTGTCTGTGACCCAGCTCTGTGTTTCAGTGTCATTGTTGGAAGGGATCCATTCAGAAAAGGACCGAACTATTAGTGTCTGTTGCCTTCCTCAGCAGCCTAGGCATGGTGCTTTTCCTCGTGGCCTTTTGCATCTCAGGAAGACATGTGACAGTAATCCCTTGAAAAAAACTGAAGTACCTCTGTGTTTTTACTTTTTTCCATAAGGAAAAATCTATAAAAGGTCACATATACTGCTTTTAAAGGCTCCTCAATAATTTGGAGCTTTGAGATTAGTAGCATTAATTAAGTCTCAAGGGTTTCTTGTTAACTCCATTCATCTTAATCCAAGTTGAATATAAAAATCCACCTTTGCCTGTTAGTTGATTTTAGTCACTGTGAAATACTTCACATCCAGTCTCCACATAGTAGAGATTTGACTTCAAGTTCATATTTGTATGTATTTTGTGTTTCCTATTTCATAATGTCTGCATTGGCCATAAAGTATATCTGGTCATTGAACTAAAATTCAGCTGGGATAGATGGGAACGTGGGCCTCTAGATCTGTTAGTGCTACAGCTACAGATTCAACCAACTGCTGATTAATTTTTTTTTTAAAGTTGTGTCCATCCTGAACATGTACAGACTTTTCCCTGAGTATTATTCCCTAAGCAATACAGTGTAACTATTTACATGCCTTTTACATTGTCTTAGGTAATATAAGTACTCTAGAGATGATTGTTTAAAGTATATGGGAAGATGCCAGTCTAGACGAGGGAATTAAACATCTGCAGATTCACTTTTCCTGAGGTGGGGGACAGGTCCTGAACAGCCGCCGTGACCCTGGGAGACGCCTGTGCCTCTGGAGAATTGTTCACTCAGTGTCTATGACTTTGGCTGCAGTTAGTGGACTGCTTCTGCTGAGTGTCTTCAGAATCACCTCTGAATAAGATTAGTGTTTTTTCATCTGAAACTCTAAAATGATGATTATGGTAAGAAAGAGTATTCATTACATTGAAGATGATCAAAATTATCTAACATTAAAAATGTTTTAGAAAAATCTTTTAATTTATAATGTATTCCAAAAATGTATGTTCAGAAGTACTAAAAAGGCTTTATATTTGCTAATGGTTGGAATGTTCGCTGTATGTCATCATTTCCATTTCACTTATTATATGTGTATGGTCATGTATGTTATATTCTAATTGTAGCAAAGCTAATGGCAATAAATGCTATAATTGAAAGAAATGGTCATCTCACAAATCTTAGTATGTTTTGCATCTTTAATGGACTAAAATATTATGAACAGATTTTGTGTACTGTACTTAACACTTTTGTAGGGAACAGAATTTGAGATATTTTGTCTTTGTCACGTGTAAGATTTTGTTACGAAGCTTGTTATTCAGAGAACAATAAAGTTTTGTGTGAACCTGATTGTCGTCTTTCTTCATGTTTAATTTTAAAGGATGGTTGAATACATTATCCATATCATGTTGTCATTTACTCAATAGTTATAATCTGTTAGCTTGTCTCCCTGTTCTTAAATGATTGGCTCATCTGAAACAAGAACTTGCAAGTTGGGCTGGTGTGCTGCTCCCGTGAGCAGGTGTAGCACCTGCTTTCACCTTCTGCCACCTGGTGAGGTCTTTGAGGAGACTGAGGTCCATGGAGGTTAGTAGCTGAGTAAGCATAAAGTTTGTTTTCATGTTCAGCTCCAGCAAAGGGCCTTTTTCGTGGGCAGGCCCAGCAATCCTTCTATGCCTGTTCTAATTAGGGCATTTCTTCTAAGACCTTGTAATCAAGCAAAACGTCATAGTTGTCAATATTCCTTCACTGATCCATCCAGCATTTATTAATCGCTGTTAAGTGCCAGGGATGCAGTGGCAGGAGGATTCAAATATGGCCCAAGGGAACTCGTGTCTAGTGAAACACAGGTCAGAAAACAGGTGATTCAAATACATTCAAAGCAAGAAATGCTATAGAAATCTATAAGATGATGTCATGGACAAAACTGTGTATTCTCCCAAATCCATATGTTGAAGTTCCACCCCACCAATGTACTTATATTTGGAGACAGGAATTTTAGGGTATAGATGAAATAAGATCATGAGGGTGGATCCTAATCAGATAGGACAGGACTTGTGACTTTGTAAGGGGACGAGCTTACCCTCCCTCCCTGTCTCGCCTCTCCTCTCCACAGAAAGGCGGAGGGCTTCCTGTGGAACCCAACGTGCTGCCACCCTAATTTCAAACCTCCAGCCTCCAGAACTGCAAAAATAAAGTTCTGTTTCTTGTGTCACTTTGTAGTATTTTGTTATGGTGGTCCAAGCTGACTAAAGCAAGTGACATTAGTGAAACATTAAAGGAGTATATCATGTAAACACTGGAAAAATGAAGAGGCTGGAGGCTTAGGAAAAGCATGGAAAATTCTGAGAACAATAAAATCTTTCACTATCTGCTTTTAAAAATTAGTGCCTCAAGATGAAATATTTTGGTAATTTACCATGACATGTGTTACGTTCCAACATAGTTTTGCCTTGGACACATTTGAGAATCACCCAAAATACATCAATTTTTAAGAATGAATAAGGAAGTGATTTTCCCTGAAAGTATGTGTTTGCACCATGACTGACTTAGCACAATGTTAAGTGTAGGCCGTGTTACATGTAGTCACCAAGAATGTGACTTGTGTAATGGGCTGCATCCAAATTCCTATTTTCTGTTTCTAGCACAGTCTTCAGAAAGTCTGTTTCCTGCATTGCGCTTAAATTTCTTGGTATGTCCGATGGAGGATATTAGTGGTACTTAGCTCATAGCAGGACAAGGATTGAATGAGATAAATTCATCAGTGAAATAAAGTCATAAAATTAACTAAAACCACATAGACAATGAACAGTCTGTTAATTATGGGAATAAAACATTAAAAAAACTTAAAGATTTAATTTATATGTGTGTACCTGACACTGGATAAAGTTAATCTGATTCATTGCTTTCAGAACAAAATTCTCAGTCTTATGGGTAAAAATAACTTTAGGTTATTACCGTCTTTGCCAGATTTTGACCATCTCAGTCTAAAGTGTAAAAAGAGGGACAATTTGGAAAAAGCAAAACAAAAACTTTGGAGTTTATAGTCTTGGGTTACTGTATTTTGTCCCTGATATTTTGAACTGCCCTGGGACTGAATCATAAAGAGATTTTCAATTGAAATGGAGCTGGACCCACTCTATGGTCTCCAGTAGGGGGCAGCAAAATACACAAATGGATTCTCTGACACAGTTATTACTATATTATCTTTTCTCATTACAGTAATCATATAAGCTATCACTATATATTTTTAGACTGGCTATTTTCTCATTTTTGTAAGTATTTTTAGGTTTATTTCTTTAAAATATAATTATCCCAAGGATTAAGACATTGTTTACATAAGTTGAATACCTAAATCATAATTGATGAAGTTATTTATATACTGATGATCTGCCTATCCACTTTACCTTGTATGATTCCATTTATTAAAATGCTCTAGTGAGGATCTCTGATTAACCCATCTGGTTGATAAATTGATTATCAAAGGGAATGTTCAAAAGTCACTCCTAGAAATTCTAACTATAGTGAGATGTGGCCCATTGGAAGGATTTTGCTTGTGTCATATCTGCAGGAAGCAGAAGGCTATCCTTGCCATTTCTAGACATCGAAATGGATAGTCAGATACACCACCATAATCCTTGTACAGCAGGTTGTATCAGTGTATCAAAGGCTTAGCAGTTCTGTGCCCATGGCACTGAGACCTTGTCTTTGTGGACTGGAGCAGAGCGGGGAGCATAAGCAGAACATGAAATTCTTTTCAGAAATCAACCCATCCATTAGGTAAACTGGGCTGCAGAGAGTTCTCTTTGGAATGCTTTAAGAAAATTTTATCTTAAAAGTTCCATGGAAATTTTCTTTTTTTGCCTCAAATAACATATTTGAAGTAAGGAACATTACTGTAATTAGTAAATTATTCCATGGTTATGCTTCCTGCAAAGAAGATTTTCAGAAAGGAATTTTGAATTTATTTCAAAGGTCCTATACTGATTTTTAAAAATAAAATCACAAAAGTAGACCAGTAAAGGACTGTTCTAACTAAGGCGAGAACTGAGTGATCGAGTGCCTTTCCACCATGTCCCTGGTTCAGTCCCCATTTCAAAATATTAAAAATCAAACTGGAAAGTGTCTATTGCTCCTATTGACATTCAGAGTACAAGTAATTATGACATACCTCATTCTGACTAATAATAAAGTGAAAAAGTCCTGTGACACATGACCTTGGATGAATTTGTAACTTTCCTGCTGTTTGTTTTTAACAAAATTTTTAAATAACAAACATTTTTGTGTTTAAGTTACTCTGCTTTTCAACCCTATCCATACAGTAAAACCTCCTAGGTGCTGCTACAGAAACAGATGACACAACGGCTGTTAGAGGGCAGGGAGGGAGGCGTGGGAGGGAGGAGCGTGGGGGAAGTTAAGTCTGCTTGCGTGAATGTGCCACAGCAAGGCCCACAGTACTTTATCGGTAATATTTAAAAATTAAGCCCCCAAAAGTTTCATGGCCATTGTCCTCACCATTCTGTTTTTATTACAAAGGGGAATAAATTTTTCTGGTTCATCCAGAATACTCTATTGACTTATTTTTTTTCAGAAATGCTTTCAAGTGTACAGCAATGTGAGAAAATTAAATATTCATATGCTTGATTTTAAAAATAGTTGACCTTTATAAATCTGAGAGACCATCATTCTACTTCTATATTTTTATGACAACCACATTCTCATTTTCTTCATTTTGTGAAGACTGACCACATAAAAACATACATTATTATGTAATATCTCTTACATAATAAAATAAATGTTCTAAGTTTTTTCTAATTTCCCTTACTTGAGCCGTCGAGGCACTGATGTGTAATCAGCTTACCTTCCCCTGACCTTTCCCTGAGACAGCTCCAGTTTGGAGCCAGAGATCATAGCTCCACGGGAGTGAAAGTCATTTTGTATTTTCAGATTTTAGAAAGTTAATGGTGGGGGTAGTGTGGATGAGAAAAGGGCTGATAGAAAAAAAGATGTAACACACTGTTAATATTTAGTGAGGAAATAACATGAGATTTGGATTTTAGACAGAAGATCAATTCAGTTGCAGAGACAATAGGTGAAAGCAAGCCAAGAGTGGAAATGCAGAAGATAATTAAACGTCGTTACCTCAGCACTGAAGTTAGTGGTGAAAACACTACAGCCAAGGAGAGAAACCAAGCACAGGGACAAGAGAGCATTCGTTTATTAGTTCCACTGGATCAGGGACAACTTTCAGGATGTGCCCCAAATTTAACTCCTCAATGACTCATGAATGAAGGTAAATGGTCATGAAGGTAAAGTTTCCTGTTATATGGTGTGAAATAAATATCTGAACAAAATTTTTGAGACTTTACACCTGGTTGTTGGACTTAGTGAAGGCTTTTCACAGGTCTCAGGCTCCATCTTTTAGGGGCTTCTCTAGAGAATGTTGGCAGGGTCAGACTGAGTATCTTGATCTGAAATGTAAATGGGAAAGAATCCACTTCAGGCTTCAGTTAAGGCAAAGCATGCTGCAGGTGTTCTGACTCTACCTCTGATGGAAACCAGAAGTCACAGTCTCCAGTCTTCACTCATATTCCTGATGACACCAGTGAAATGCATCTGTTCCTCTTCCTCTGTGAGCCTGAGGATCCAGGAGAATATGATTTTATCATGCTATGACCCTCCAGGAACATCTAAGATAAAAGTGCAGTGGCATTTGTCCACAGAAGGTCTTCAGTATGTGATGGATGAGCTTTCCTATGGTGACAAGAGAGGACAGCAGACTTACCTGATGAGGAGCTGATCATGTGTGTGATCGGTGTCACTGGCTGGAAATGCTCAGCAAACAAATGAGCTGCTTCAGTCAGAAGCAAACTCTCCAGTCTCTCTAGATTATCTAAATCTCAGAAGGAAACACCAAATCTCTTACACTAGAGAGAGTTAATATAAAGCTGTAGCACCAAATCCTCAAAAATTTAAGTAGAACAATGCAGAACTATAGATGGGATTTTCCTTGCCTTAAGGATTAAGTAATGAGATGAAAGGTCTAGGGATAGAGGAAAAATGAGTTTGAGCTGGGGGGCTGGGTTTAGAAACTCTTATTTGAAGGCTTGATGTTTTCCATCTGTAAGGTCTCCTGGGGATTTTGGAATGACAAACTTGAATTCATAACTTTAATAATATTTTATTAATCTTGGAATAAACTGTATAAAATATGCAAATTTCATGCATTTTACTTAGTAAAGAAACTCAGGTGCAGATTTTTCATGGTTATGCAGGAATGAGAAGAACAACAAGGATTCAAACCTGAGACTTCCATCTCCAAAGACTGGCTGAGTATTCTTCTTTGAGAA